TATAAAACATGAGATAAAGTTTTCCTTTTTTAATTTAATTGGTGTATTTATTTACTTATTGGTCAATTTATATACAGTATTTCTGCTTTTATTTTGACAGTTTTGGTCATATTTTACAGGCCAGGGAACGAGTTCTGACTGAATGACTCTGGTTATAAAAACAGGGACTGGACTGATGAGTTCTGAAAATGATGTTCAGWAACCAAATTATATTAAACTTCTTCTATTTGAACATTAAAATGGGATGAGAGAAAAGGAAAGCCGACTAAAAACAAAAATAAAAGAAGTGCTTGTTGTTATTAACCACATAATAAAAATTTAATGCATTATTATGGAGACAAACCACAACCACACAGTAAATAAAAGGATTTGAAGAACTTTTACCACAATTTATTGCTGTTTTAGAGATTCCACTTGAGCTGGTTCATTAAAACAAATCTTGAATTCTTGTGGTGAAACCAGTTTTTCACAGTGCAKATTTGTATATACCATAGTCCTATTTTTCTGTTCCAGGTAGCGAAGACAAAACAGCGTATTGAGGAGGAGAAGATGCAGGTCCAGGTGGTGGAGCGGACCCAGCAGATCCTGCTGCAGGAACAGGAGATCACTCGCAGGGAGAAGGAGCTGGAGGCCAAAGTGAAGAAACCGGCGGARGCTGAGCGCTACCGCCTGGAGAAGCTGGCCGAGGCTCAGCGGTGAGATGAAGGGTCTTGCTGGTGGGMCTTCCTGCTGTGTCTCCATAGATCTCTGCTGACTTCACTTCTGTTGTCTCTGCAGCATAAAGATGATCATGGAGGCTGAAGCTGAAGCTGAGTCTATACGGGTGAGTGTGCAGAATGTTTGTGGCATAAATAAATATCCACTGCCTCATTTTTCCTTAAAGAATCAGAGGCAGCTGATTAAAAAACAGTGTCTGGATCTTGTTTGTTGAGTAACTGAAACGTGCCACCCTTCAGGTAAAAGGTGATGCTGAGGCATTTGCTGTGGAGGCCAAAGGTCGGGCWGAGGCCGAGCAGATGTCGAAGAAGGCCGAGGCCTTCCGGGAGTACAAGGCTGGAGCCATGGTGGACATGCTGCTTGAAAAACTGCCTCTGGTGAGTAGAAGCATCTTATTCATGAATTTACAGCCTATTGAAGTTTAATAAAGTGCAAACCGACCGGACTCTTCCTTTAATAAACCAGTTTTAACTTTAATAAATCACAGTTTGTTTCTGGTTTTAACGTCTCGTGCTGTTTGTCTCGCACCAGATGGCGGAGGAGATCAGCAAGCCCCTGTGCAGCGCCAACAAAGTCACCATGGTGTCGAGCGGAGGAGGCGAGGTGGGAGCGGCCAAACTGTCGGGGGAGGTGCTGAACATCATGACCCGCCTCCCCGACGCAGTGGAGAAACTGACCGGAGTCAACATCTCTCAGGTAACTCCCCTCGTGCAGCTTTCTGTCTCAGAGGAAAAACCTTCACTCCTTAACGTCTGGATGCTGAGTCAGCGTTCACATTAGAGTGATCCTGCTGAGTCAGCGTTCACATTAGAGTGATCCTGCTGAGTCAGCTTTCACATCAGAGTGTTCCTGCTGAGTCAGCGTTCACATCAGTGATCCTGCTTCATCATATTAATCGTTATCGGCTAAACAACACAATTAATACAGATTATTTTTTTGTCAATGTCGCCCAACCCTACTGTATACTCTGTACATTTTAAACATTCAAATGTGAGAAATGTTCTTCTTAGTCTAGCTATGAATTTTGTTTTTGTAACTTCTAGTTACAAATATTTTCCCATACAAAGACATTGATATGTAATTACGACGGAGTATTAAGGCCACACAACGAGATTTTTTTTAATTACAAGTAAAAAGTCATAATATTCTAACCTTTACATGAAAAAGCACGCAGTTACTGCATTAAAATGAGGAATGTTGAGCAATTTGTCAAGTTGTTCTTTAGTATTGCTTAAAAATAAATAGTTAATCTTTTAGCACAGTAGCATCAAATTATAGCAGGACTTGGAAATTGTGCAAACGACGATATGATAAACTGAAGCTGTATTGTAGTTAATGGATGCATTGACAGATTTAGTCGTCACATAGCTAATTTGAATGAAATCATCAAATCTAACAGTGCTCCAAATCATCGTGGACTCTTTCATAAACACAGACACATGGCTGTACACAGCAGGTGTGAGGAAAATAAGGAGGAAATGAGGAACGGAAAATGGACACATCATGTAAGATTATGACTTTTTCTCGTAAAATTACGACTTTAATCTCGTAATATTATGACTTTACTCTCATAAAATTACAACTTTGATTTCGTAATAATAATTTTAAAAAATCTCGTTGTGTGGCACTAATACTCCGTCATAATATAATAAACAGAAAATGAATTTTCTCCATTTATTTTCATTTTTYACTGTAACTTCTTTCTGTCCCTCCACCCATCAGGTGTCTTCTCATACAGGCTGAAGAGAAGGAACCAAAATGGAAGCTGGTTTCTCTCCATCTACGTGTTTTATCGCAGCTTCGTCCTCCTCCTCTCCTGTTGTGTGTGGAGCTGCTGCTTCAGCTGCTTTGTGTTGTTGTTGTGTGAACTGTTTTCACCATTCATACGTTTTTGTTTTTGGTTCCTGTGATTCGGTTCAATCAGTCAAACCGTTGGGTTCTTTGTGTTGGAGTTCGAACCTTGTTCTACGTTTACATTCATTCATTCATTCATGTTCCTGTGATTCGGTTCAATCAGTCAAACCGTTGGGTTCTTTGTGTTGGAGTTCGAACCTTGTTCTACGTTTACATTCATTCATTCATTCATTCATTCATTCATTCATTCATTCATCCTGCGTCTGTGTTGACCTTTAACGTCTCCTCTGACACTGCCTGGGTCCACTGCCTTACTGCCAAACCTTAAGTGCATCTTAGCATCAACATGTGATACAAATGTTCAGTTCACTGAGCCCCCCAACATTTTTCATGTTTTTCTGACGGATCCAAAGTGTTTCACCTGGATGGTTGGAAAACGACAGGAAGTCAAAGTCTTTATACAAACTGGAACTGCAGCATAAAATTAAAATGTAGATTTAGCTGCAGGTCCACATTACTTTAAAACTTTATAAAAGTTTTGTTCCTACTTTTCTCACCAGACCCTCTGCTGTCATGATGGAGAACTAAAAGTTTCATGATGCTAATTTTAAAAAGTTGTAGCCCCGTCGAAGGAAAAAAAAAAACGTCTGAGCTCAGGAAATTTAAAAAGCATGTATAAAAACAAGCATGAGAAGATAGTTAATAAAACATGATTTTATACTGAAAGTTTATTTATGGTTGAGCCAAACAGAAATGTATAAATTTGTTTTTAAYCTGAAGCTGTAATTATCACATCAGATAAATTTATTTATTGATAATTCTTAGCTTTAAGTCTCAGGTCAGGGTTGGCAGCCATATTTACTTTATGGAAACTCAAATTATCTGATTTAGGAGAAAAATCTGTTCCTTGTTCCCTGGAGGTTTTTTTTTTTTTCATATTTTGTGTAACATTTATTAGTGGAAAATGGTGCCTTTGTCTTTTTTTTGACCAGTTATGTAGCAGCTCTAAAACATGCGAAAAAGATATACAATTAATTCACACTATTTAAAATTACTACCAATTAAAGTCCAGTAAAGTAAATTTAAAACATCAGTTAGTATTGAACCAGTTACTAAAACATACTAAGATTAAAGAAGAACTAAAACATGTCTTAAATCATAAACCCGTCACTCTGTCATCCTCTACCTCACATCTTGGACTGGTTCTGTGAAACACTCCATCCTTTCAGTGCATGTGCTGTAATGCATTCACAGGTACGTTAAGACTGAAGAATCTTGCAATGAAACATTTTTTTATTTTATGTCACTTTGTATTTTTTGTGGATCTGCTTGTATTGTTTATTTTTATTGATCTGTAGGTCTTTTTTGTTAAATCTACACAACCAAAAGCACCGAAATGGCTTTTAAATGTACAATTTATTTATCTAAAGTTAAACACACCTGTTATATATGCATGCATTTGTTCCTATCACACTTGAAATTTAATGTAATCTTGCAAAAGTGTAGGTTTTAGTMAGGACATAGGCAAGGGTCACTGTGAAGTTAGAGTATATATACCTGTTAGTTACATGTAGAAATGTGCATCTGTCAAGTTTTAAATAAATGATCTTGTAAGTGGCTTTTAAGTAGTTTATGCAATATATATTTGATACAGTATTGGTGTAGCATTGTGCTTCACAAGGCACCATATGATAGGCTCCTCTGTCTCTATAAATGTATTAAAATAAATAAATCTGTTTAAATTGTGGGAGAACACAAATTATAATTTCTGTAACCACTTTAGAAATTTTATTTGAAGTAAATATAGTCTATGTATAAGATATAAATATTAAATTTCACTGGTATACCACCTTTGTGTTTCCGGTTTCTTAAATCATTACATGTCAAATATTTTTTAGAAATGTGTAGAGTTTGATGTGTTCTTCATATTTTTCTATTTAATTATACATTTCACTGTTATAAAACAAAACGTGTATTCTAATTTATGGATATTTAATTTCCATCAGTAGATGCTAGAGGGATCTGGAACTAGGTCTAGACTGAAAACAAAAAATAAAAGTGTTGCAAGAAGCCTAAATAACTAATAATACCACTTTAAAGTCTGTTTGCTTGAAAATAAAATAATAAAATTACATGTTGGTTTAAAACGTTTACATCTTTATCTCAAGACTTTCACAATCCTGTATGTATTAGGATTTTTACCTTGTATTCATTCAAGTCCTGCTCAATGATAACATATACCGGAAACGCTGGTAGTTGTTTTTGTCAAGCTAACAAGATAAAGCGGTTTAGAACCGGAAGTTGATAGTTTGTTTTGGAAAAGAAGATTCAAGCCACCCGAGACTTCAGTAAACGAAAGTCAAGGAGCTGTGTGAAAAAATATCAACCTTTATTTTTCATAAATGCTCTATGTCTAAAAACCCGGCCAAGTCTCACACTATGATGTAACATTTGTAGAAGATGCGTATTTCTAGTGATTTTATTTTGAAAGCTAAACCCGGAAGTTCCGCTATTGAAATCTGTCCGACTTGACCCATGCAAAAAGAACTGGAGGGAAAAAAAAAGAGAAAAAAACGGAGAAAAAAAAGGCATATCTGAGACCTTTGAGGGACGGATTTGGACAAAGTTTCCCAACTGTCCCGTTCCGAGGAAGCTTCGGGGGGGTTGAAAGGGAGTCCAGTTCACCGGTAATTAACTCAGGAGTTATAATTCGGTTGTAAATTAATTGTTATTTTCAGTGTGTCTGAGAGCACCGTCGTCTCGGTCGCCGGAAGTCTGCATGAGGCTGCGTCTCCAACAGAGGCAACGGCGTCGACGTTTTTTTTTCTGTCTTGTTTTTTTTTTTTTTTTTTATTCGAGACTTTTTTTTTCTCTTTTTTTATTTTCTCTCAGCGAGATGAGCAGGGAGTGAGGAATGGAGGCGCAGGGAGCGAGGATGTTTGTGTTTGCTTAGCTGAAAGCTGGTTAAGCAATATGAACATACAGGCCTCCTTGTAGCTTGAGTGAACAAGCCAGCGAACAAAAGGAGAAAATTAATGGAGGCAAGTTAGCGTTAGCCATGTTTGTGTGTCACCCAGATAACACCCTCAGCTCCWGGCAGGTTGCAGTGTAACACAACAGTCAGTGCCGACAGCATTCCAAGATGTCTCCTAGTTTTTCACGRTCGCTGCTGCTCTTATTTTTGCAAAATTTCATCAATCACTGCTAACATTAGCCTGCAGTTAGCGGAACCACAGTTTTGGAGCCAGCTTGTGTCCTCTCGTCAAAAATGGCTCTCAGCACACTGAAACATAGGCTTTGAAATGCTCAATTAACAGCCCCTCACTAGTCATATTACTATTATCAATATTGGTTGGTGAGTTGCGGAAAAGCTGCAGCATGTTGGGAATTAATTTTCCACATCTGCAGAGAAAAAAGGAGGCTCATGAAAAACAAACATGTCGAGTTTATGTTGCATGATTATGTTGTTAACTGAAATGTTGCAGGGTTTGTAATGTTTATTTTTCATGTGCATCCTTTGCTTCTCTAAAAACTATTGTAATATTTAAACCAGTTCAGCTTTACTAACCTGTAATTAAATGCATGCATTTTTTTGGCGGGTATGGTGGCAAAATGACTGCACGACAACCCAAATGTGTCTCATGCATTCAGAAAGCTAAACCTCAAAACTAACATTTCAGCTGTAAATGTGTGCAAAATAAATTTAAAATGCATGCTAGTGTTAAATAACAAAACTAACATTTTTTTCTGGTTTGTGATTAAGAAAAAACACCAAACTGAGATAAGGAAACAAGTTAAACTAGAGAAACTGCATTTTCCAGTTAATGATGACAACCCATTGACTGCTGAAATTAGCTTTAAAAAAGCTGAAACTGAGCTTTTTAAGGTTTACATATTGGCTATAAGCAGAATGTTAGCTATAAGCTAAAAGTAGCAAAAGACTAGCTGAAAGTGGCTGAATGGTTGTTAGTAGCTAAATTAGCCAGTCACTAGTTAAAAGCAACAAAAGATTAGCTATAAGGTAAAGTAGCAAAATAAATGTAGCTAAAATTATCAAAAGGCTTGCTTGAAGCTAAATGTTTAAAAAGTGTTAGTTAAAAGTAGCAAATCATTAGTTAAAAGTAGCAAGTCACTAGCTGAAAGCAAAAAAGGTTAGCTAAAAGATAAAGTATAAAAAAATGTAGCTGAATTTTTTAAGGCCTGTTGGAAGCTAAAGGTCAGAAAATGTTAACTATATTAC